TCTTATTTCAGCCCTCTTGTGCCCCACGTTGGTGTGCCAATTAAGGCTGTGGTGGTTTAGGCCCTGCCGGGACCGGAGACCACATTGCCGTTGCCTCTCCCCCACCCTCAGCCTGTCAGGCTGGCAGTGAGGCACAAACCCCAGGTTAAAATAAGAAGAAATTTGATACAACAGTGTGATAAACAATCTGAACAACAACAATAGCAATTATAATAACAATAAACAGCAATAGCAGTAAGTAAGACAAACGATATACAGAGAAATACCGCAAATAGTCACGGAACAACTCCCCGCCACCAAGACTACCAAGGAAAAAGTTTTCCATGCTGGCCCTGATGTCAGCATGGTATGAATAACCCGGCCGGAGATCCCTTCCCCCTCTCTGCTGGGGAAACTTAACCCTATCCTAGCTGAACCAGGACAGTCTGTCTTCTGCCTGTGACCATAATGGGTGAGTCAACCCTCCCCATCCTTATCTCAATTCCTGACCCAGCACGGGGTAAAAAGGGGGGAGTGAGAGCCTGTGTGCTGCTCAGGTGCCCTCTGAGTTCAAACCGCAACTGTCCTGAAGAAACTGGAGGACAAGCTGGTTAAGCCACTATCCATCATATTTGAGAAGTCATGTCAGTCTGATGAAGTTCCCATTGACTGTAAAAAAACCCCCCATTTTTAAAAAGGGAAATAAAGAGGACTGAAGAAATTACAGGCCAGTCAATCTCAGCTCTGTGCTTGGAAAAATCATGCAGTAAATCCTCATGGAAAATATGCTGGGGCATATAGAAAATAAGGTGGTGATTTGTGACAGCCAACATGGCTTCACAAAAGCACAAATCATGCCTGACAAGTTTGGTGGCCTTCTACAATGGGGTTTCCACGTTGGTGGATATGGGAAGAACAACTGACATCATCTATCTGGACTTGTGCAAAGCTTTTGACACTATCCCATACTACATCTGTGTCTCTAAATTGGAGAGACATGGATTTGATGGATGACCACGTGGTGGATAAGGAATTGGCTGGATGATCGTGCTTAAAGAGTTGTGGTGAACAGCTTGGTGTCCAAGTAGAGAGCAGTGACAAGTGCTGTTCCTCAGGGGTCAGTACTGAGGCTACTGCTGTTTCATATACATTGTTGGTGACACGGACAGTGGGATTAAGTGCACCCTCTGCAAGGTTACTGACAACACCAAGCTGTGTGGTGAGGTCAACACATTAGAGGGAAGGGATGTGCCATTCAGAGGGACCTTAATGTTACTGATTTGTTATTAATTTTAGCTGATTTTAATGATTTTCAGTGATTTTAATATAAATATGAAAGATCAGGCCTAACCAATTAAATGAAATTCTAGAGGAGTATTGGTTTTATAATAGTTAGGAAAAAACAGTATAGTGTAATATTTTAAGTAGCCACAGAAACACTGTATTTGGTTTAGCATAACCATACAACCAGTCACGCTGGTACAAAGTTCTTTGTAAAGTCCCAGGCTAAGGCCACACACACTGGTAATAATCATTAACCAGATTTCTGTTCAAAGAATAATATTCATGACCAGATTTTACTGTTAGGCTGTTTGGTATGGAAGATTTATAGCCTTGTTGATGAGGATGTTCTAAACGATACCTTATAAAGGGATCTTCACAAAAAAAAAAACCAAACCCAACCAACCAAAAAACAACCCTGGCTGGATGGCTGGGCACAAAGAGTTGGGGTGAAAGGAGTTAAATCAGGTTGGCGGCCAGTCACAAGTGGTGTCCCCCAGGGCTCGGTGTTGGGGTCACTCCTGTTTAACATCTTCATTGATGATCTAGATGAGGGGATCGAGTGCACCCTCAGTCAGTTTGCAGATGACCCCAAGTTGGGTGGGAGTGTTGATCTGCTCGAGGGTAGGGAGGCTCTGCAGAGAGACCTTGACAGGCTGGAGCCATGGGCTGAGGCCAACTGGGGGAGTGTCCATAAGGCCAAATGCCGGGGGCTGCCCTTGGGCCACAACAACCCCCAGCAGCGCTACAGGCTTGGGGAGGAGTGGCTGGAGAGCTGCCAGTCAGAGAGGGACCTGGGGGTGCTGATTGACAGCCCGATGAACAGGAGCCAGCAGTGTGCCCAGGGGGCCAAGAAGGCCAATGGCATCCTGGCTTGTGTCAGCAATAGCGTGGCCAGCAGGGACAGGGAAGGGATTTTACCCCTGTACTGGCACTGGGGAGGCTGCATCTCGATTCCTGAGTTCAGTTTTGGGCCCCTCACTCCAAAAAGGACATTGAATGACTCGAGCATGTCCAGAGAAGGACAACAGAGCTGGTGCAGGGTCTGGAGCACAGGTCGTATGAGGAGCGGCTGAGGGAACTGGGGGTGTTTAGTCTGGAGAAGAGGAGGCTGAGGGGAGACCTCATCGCCCTCTACAGCTCCCTGAAATGAGGCTGCAGAGAGCTGGGGATGAGTCTCTTTAACCAAGTAACAAGAGATAGGACAAGACGTAATGGCCTCAAGTTGCTCCAGGGAAGGTTTAGACTGTCTATTAGGTAGTATTTATTTCCAGAAGGGGTTGTTGGGCATTGGAATGGGCTGTCCAGGGCAGTGGTGGAGTCCCCATCCCTGGAGGTGTTTAAGAGTTGGGTTGTCATAGAGCTGAGGAATCTGGTGTAGTTGGGAGCAGTCAGTGTTAGGTTAATGGTTGGACTAGATGATCTTCAAGGTCTTTTCCAACCTTGATGATTCTGTGACCTTGAAGCATGTTAAAGTTGTAATGTGAGCCAAAGTCCTTGAGACAAGGACACTGGAGGGTCTTTTGAGTCAGTGGTCCGTGGTGGTTGTTAAAAGCAGCACTTCAACTCAATTTAAAGACAAAATGCACATGACTGGAAAGGGGTGCGATTAAGAAAATGAATTATGAGAATTGGTATGACTATGTATGAGAATGTTTACTATGCATCATTATATCCTATATAATCAGCATACTCGAGGAGCTAGGTGTGTATTGCTGGTAAGACCACTCCCCTATGCACCCAGTCATTAATAAAGAAGCTTATCTACATCATGTTGTTAGTAAGTTCTTTTATCCCATTTGGGGACATTTACAGGCTTGAGAGGTTGGCCCATGCAAACCTCAGGAAGTTCAACAAGGCCAAGTGCAAGGTCCTGCACATGGGTCAAGGCAATCCCATGCACAAATATAGGCTGGGCAAAGAGTAGATTGAGACAGCCTTGTGGAGAAGGACTTGGGGTTATTAGTGGACGAAAACCGAGCCAGCAATGTGTGCTCACAGCCCAGAAAGCCAACTGTATCCTGGGCTGCATCAAGAGAATCATGACCAGCAGCAGTTCAAGGGAGGGGATTCTCCCCCTCTATTCTGTTCCTGTGATACCCCACCTGGAATATTGTGTCCAGCTCTGGGCCCCCCCCATTAAAAGGACATGGATCTGCTCGAGTGGGTCCAGAGGATGCCACAAAGATGATCAGGGGGCTGAAGCCACTTCCTTATGAGGACAGGGTGAGAGAGTTGCAGTTGTTCAGCCTAGAGAAGAGAAGGCTCTGGGGAAATCTTACAGCTTTCCAGACTTAAAAAGGGGCCAACAGGAAAGATGAAGAGGGACTCTGTATCAGGGACTGTAGGGACAGGATGAGGGGAAATGGTTTTAAACTGGAAGAGGATAGATTTAGATGAGATATAAGGCAGGAACTCTTTCCTGTGAGGGTGGTGAGACACTGTAACAGGTTGCCCAGAGAAGCTGTGGCTGCCCCCTCCCTGGAAGTGTTCAAGGCCAGGTTTGATGGGGCTTTGAGCAACCTGATCTAGTGGAAGGTGTCCCTGACCATGGCAGGAGGGATAGAGCTAGATGATCTTTAATGTCCCTTCCAACCCAAATGATTCCATGATTCTATGGATGTGCCCTTTCAGCAAAGAAGGCAAATGGGATCCTGTACTGCATTGGACAAAGTATTGCCAGCATGTTGTAGGAGGTGATCCCTCCTCTCTACTCAGCACTGGTGAGGCCACACCTGGAGTCCTGTGTCCAGTTGTAAGCTCCTCAGTACAAGAACATAGACATACTGGAGAAAGAGTCCCACAACGGCCTTGAAGATGAAGGGACTAGAACATCTCACCTATGAGGAGAGACTGAGAGAGCTGGCACTGTTCAGCCTGGCGAGCAGAAAGTTCAGAGGGGATCTTATTAACATATACAAATACCTCTAGGGACGGCACAAAGAGGAAGGAGACAGGTTCTTTTCAGTGGTACCCAGTGACAGGAGCAGAGGCACAAAGTGAAACACAGGAGGTTCCTTCCAAGCATCAGAAAATACTTTTCATGGTGAGGGTGACCAAGCACTGCCACAGGCTGCCCAGGGAGGTTGTGGAACCTCCATCCTTGGACATATCCAAAAGCCATGTGTTCACAATCCTAGACAACTGGCTGTAGGTGGCCTTGGTTGCACAGAGGAGTTGGACCAGATGACCTCCAGAAGTCCATACCAACCTCAACCACTTTGGGATATAATATGTGACACATTATCAAAACGATGCCATTTCAGTATTTTCAATTACTTTTTCTTTATTGACTCCTTTTGCAAATCCCCAGAGAACACCTGGCAATTGTGGGAGAGGGAAACAACTTTCATACCTACTTCTGACCAGCACCCAGTTGCAAAGACAAAACTATGTATGTTCAGAGGGGGATGGTCTACATTTAGCTTTCTATTACCTCTGGTGTTTTAGAATATAGCTCAAAGTAAAGTCAGTCCACAGGGATACATATATGCAAGAACTCACTGCCAGTGTTACTACTTCCTAGTGGTAGCATTAATTATGTTTTCCTTGACATTACGCAAAACAGGTCGGCTTGTTAACGCCACCAGGAAGTATATACTTGCAGTGCAACCCACAGGCAGAACCAGTGCAGATAAATTAACTGCTGAAGAAAAAACAAAACAAAATTCTGCTTCCCTCTCTCCTGTATGTTTTAAAAGTTCCTATACATGTACAGGATTCCACATGGAGGGTTTTACCTTGGTGACATGCTCTGGTACTTGATCTGGCTGACTGCTGAACTCACCACCTATCTGGAAGTCACTGACGCAGGAAATCGAGTCTCTGAGCTCGGTGAGTGTCTGGCTGCCCAGTACAAGGACTGTCTGATAGGGTTTGCGTTCTTTATGCTACAAAGAAAACAGCACATGGCTTCAAATAAAAATCACTTGTCAGCATCAGTACTGCTCTTGACAGCTTGAGGTCATTAATGGTAGCATATGGCACATCACCCCTCTGTACAAGATTTTAAACAGCATCTTGCCTCAGCTTCTCCTAAGACTGCCATTTATTAGTTTTATTCAGAAACTTAGAAGTTATATTTCCCACTGAAAAGTGCAGGAAAGGAAGTCTGAGCACACTTATCCCAAACCCAGAAAGAGTACTTTAGTTTCAGAACATGAGCTTTCTGTGAAATCAACTGGCTGCTGAGTAATTACTGTAAAAGTTTCCTTCTGTAAACCACCAATAGAATGAAATCCAGATTCTGAAATAGCCTTAAGAAGTTACCACAGTTGAAGAGTTTACCATGCTTCCTCAGTGGAGTTACTGATTTTAACCGCTTGGGAATGCAAGATATTACCTGAGTAGGGAAGAGACATCAGAATACAACCTAGAGAATTTAGCACCAACCTTCTGAAAGATGACAGGATAGAAGATGTTCAGAGTTAAAAGCAGTTCTCCCTCCTCAACTAGATCTGTTGGATTGTTTGGCCTCTTTCCAATTGCATGTGACTCCTGGAAAAATAAAAATACATATATATTATATTGATAACTACTTATATATCATAGTCCATGAATAAAAGACTGAGAAACACTGTTCTAACTGTAACTTGGTTTTGATTGTGTAGTCTTCTGAATTGTTAACAGCCTAGTTCTTCCAAAATTGAAAGGTGAGAAACTGCTGTAATTACTGATTTCAAGCATCTTCCTTCATTTCTCAGCTCTGGAAGAGCAATTATGAGATACCTGACTATCCCTTGGCTACTTGTAAAAAGAATAAGCTTTAGAAAACTCTTTTTTCTTAGGATATTATTAATAGCAGGAATAATTAATAGATATTGTTTTATAGGCTTAATTAATAGAGCACAGGTGCTCAAGGAACAATACTGACAGTTTAAGCAACTCAGGCTAGGTAATGAAAAGCTATACGTAGATTTAACTGTATGTTAAATAGAACATTTTGAGTCTTTTCTCAGAAGTCTAAAAGTGAATTATGATGAAAATTGTTCAGAAGTTAAGTAAACATGATGACCAAAGAATGCATCAATAAGCAGTGCTGTCCGAAGAGGAATTACAATGGAACGATAAGAACTAGTCAAAACTGTGTAATACAATGGACTTTCGAAATTGATGATGACTTGAGAGCTAAAAGTTCCTGGAAAATCACCAAAGACTCTTTGTATTGTATGTTAGATCATCTACAGAGAGGGCGTTTTTTATTAGGTGTTGCCACTCAACGAGGTGATGTTAACTGTTGCTAATAAAGCAAGCCTAGAGGTACCCACAGTCTGGTGAAATCCTTTAACACTGCTGAGAGGCCCTCACATAAAGGGAATTAAAGCCTACTGCCACTCTGCCCTCATGGAACCCAGCTGCTAACAACTTCCATCACTTAATGCTTTGAAATGCTCTTTGAATGCTTTCACATGTAAAGGAGGATTGCAACTCTGAACTTGAGAAAGACTGACCTAGAAACCAGCCACAGGATGAAGTATATGGAAATAAAAATTAGTACAACACTTTGTCTTACTAGGGAAGCTTGACATAGCTGGAGGCCTCAATTCCTCCAAAATCCAAAACCAAAATCCAGCACTGCCCTTGCCACACTACTCTGTTTCAGAAAAGAAGTTAAAGCATTTCCACATTTCCACCCTACTCTGTGTTTAAGATATAGCCCAGGTGTGAGAAGGAGGGAGGGCACTTTTCTATGGCAGTTAAGTTTCCTCCTTTTTCAACAAAAAAGAGAGAATACTAACTGCACAAACACTTCCAACCAGCACAGAATATTCTTCAAATTTAGTAACAGGAGCGTATACTGCTCTGAGACTTCAGTTCAGAGATACATGTGCTCCATCCCCTGTATCTCCTTTCTTCATGTGACACATTCCAAACTCAACAATTCTTAATGCTCTCATCCTGAGCCAGGACACTGTGGTCCCAACCAGCTCTGACACACAAACCAGCTACCACTGGTTTGTGGTAACAGACCTTGTGCTCATTCTTCAGAAACAGAAATAAGACACCACTCACTGAAACCCTTTATGAAGATTGCTATTGCAAATACTTTCTCAGATATGCCCTAGGCTAAGAACCCAAAACCAGTTCATCTCAGCTGACACATGTTTACACCATGTGCCTGGGACCCAGGACAGCTGAAACAAGATCCCTCAAGACAGACCAGGAGATCTCAATGGGGAAAAAACACTCAGTAGTGAGGCTCCCTCTTCACTGTATCTCCATCCCTACTTTTTACAGTAGTTCATGGCTTGTTTGTTCAAGTCACAGACTCCAGCACTGCAAAATTTAATTCCTTAAGTTTTCCTGTTTAAGACTTTAATGGTTGTGAAGACACCTTTAAAAAAAAAAAAAAAAAGTACTAAGCATAGTTAAGGAAATTCCAAGACGGCTTTTGAGGGGCTAATCACTATACTCCTGGTTCCTTACAGCTCAGAATGGCTTAGAAACTAGGGTTACAACGCTCAGAATTAGGAACTTTGTGTCACCATGCTCCTACTGCCTTCTTCTTCAAGCCTTACAGAAACAAGCTCACAATCATTTACACATTAAAACTCAGATTGCCACACAGATCTCCAGGAGCAAAAACATTACACATTTTGTCTACTTATACTTTATAAGTTCACATGATGCTCAGTACACTTGATCCCCTAAACAATGCTTTAGTAGCAACCAAATAAAAGCAATCATACAGTGGTGATGAGCTGGAGTTTCTCCTTACTACATTCAGTAACAGACTGTAAGAGCAGAGATCCTGTCCTACCTTTCTATAAAATGTCTTTAATCTTAATTGTTACCTGCAAACTTATATCTGCAAACATTTACAGTGTACAGAGATTCATAGTGATGAAAAGAACAAAGCAGCCAGAAGTTGGATTTTGACTGTGCTGAGCTGTCTTGAGATCCTACAAGATGACAGGGAACTTACCAACTCATAGGTAAGAGTTTCTTGTCTGCAAGCCCGATCCACAATAATTGTTTCTTCTCTCCTCTCTAAAGCCTTCTTTCTAATTCTGAGGAGTAGGAACAAAGGACAAAATTTCATTCAACAACTTCCATGCAGAATCTCTAGGTATAATTTTAAATGACACAATCTGCTACAGTCCAGGTATCAAAGACCAGGATTTCTGACTGTCTTAGTGGACAACAGAGTAACTTAAAATACTCTTGTCTTCTGACTCTCATAAAACCTGGTAGTACAGGCCAGATTGTGGACTTCAGCTTGGTTTTTAATTTCCTCTTATGTGCAAATTACAGGTTGTTTGTGGGCAGTTTTTTACACTTACGAGAAAAACCAGCAAAATGTTATCTGAAGAGCATTCCTAGGAAGAACACTTTCCTACAGTGAGGAAGCTGTTTCAACTATCCCCCTCACTTCAGAGAAATTCAATCCACATTCAAGCAAAAAAACAAGGAAAAAAGCACAAACATTTTCAACCCCATGACACAGATAGTTTTCTAAAAAAACCTGAGCATCACTTGAAGAAGAAAGAGTATTGTACACTGATTATCTACTAAAATACATGTATTTAACCACTTCCTGAACATCAAATCCCTTCAAACTTTCAGTAACAATCAGATTTAACACTGACCACAACATTTACACATTTCTTTACCTTAGTACTAAGCAAACTGAAATTCAACTACAGCAAAGGCCTGAACTGGCCAAGTATGAGTTCAAAGTTCACTATCTGATACAAACTTAACATATATTGCTCAACTTCTGAAATGCATCAGTAGTATCAATGAGTTCTATACAGACTGAGTACAGACTAAGAGGTATCTTGCTACAACTTCAGTAATTAACTTTGGGTGTTACAATATGACTGTGGGTAACTAGAGGTAAGAGCTACAGATTTATTTCAGGAGGCTTTGGACAAACCTCCCACACATGATCACAAGAAGTCCCCTGCATGTTCCAAATTTAGGTGCTAGTTCAGAAGTATCTAGGGCCAGAAATCCTAAATTCTTCCAATAAGAAAGATGACATATTCTGTATATATTAATAAAAAATTCCTAAGTAACATTCAAGCAAAAGGATCATATCAATTATCCTATCATAAGCTGGTGTTTCTGCCCTTAGAGTATTTCTGGACACTGCTTTAGAAAGTCCACTGTTTTCTGGAAAGGGAAAAGCAGATAGCCATGCTTTTGTGCTTGTTTTCCACCCCACCCCTTATCAGGGTACTGTGAGCATACTATAATGACATACCGAAGAGTTAGAAGACTGCTATCTTCAGGAATAACATCCAGATCCTTTTCTTTATCAGAAGACATTAACACATCAGTGCTAGGACAATAAAGAAAATAACAATTATAATTTTTTTCATACTTACTTCATAACAAAAATCAGTTAAGCTCTTCTTAAAAGGAATAAAGACAGCAAAATGTGAATAAACAAGATATAGCTTGTACAGCCTAAATCAGGGCAAAAGGCCAGTATGGTTGTTAAGATAAAGAATCAGAAGACAAAAATTCTTGGAGTTTATATCTGGCTTTGACAGAGACCGGGTAAATTTTATCTTTCTTCTGACTAATCGAGCATAGCTGCCTAGAGGTTTAACAAAATTTATGTCCAATACTTTTTATAAACCAAAAATGCCTCAACTTTTTCAAATCTCATCCACATATTATGATTTTCTCATGAACTACGGAAAAATCAATTAAAAGTAAGTATCAATCTCAACCTGTAGGGTAAAGCTAACACCCCCCATCAGATACAAACATGGGCAAGCCACCACATTTACATGAACTGACATTGCTGTATTAGGGCACTAATTTATGCCACATTCCTTCCAGTGGGAATAAGACACCACTTCTGCCAGAAGTGACAGAAGTGCCTGCCACTCTTCTTTGTGTCCTTCTTTACATCTTTTCTTCCTCACTGTTCTTGTACTTACATAGAATACAAAGTACAGCTAACCATAGTTTTTGCTGTAATGCAAATCACTGCAGGATGTGGGAAGGAAAAGTGGAACTGCTTTTGTTTGCAATGATTTAAACTGATCATGCAAACATTAGGCTTTCATAACATAAATAAGGATGGAATTTCTCATAAATACAAAACACAAAAAAAAAAAAAAATTCTGTGGGATACCATATCTGCTCCCCTGCCAGATTTATAACATAAAAATTTCCCACATACCATTCCACAATCCATCTGAAGGCTTCAGATTAGACACTACAATAGTATGAAATACTTTTTCAGAAACATACAGAATAATACTGACTCAAACACAGTGGTAATTTTATATTACTCACAAAATAATTTTATCCAATAAAAATAGTCTGAGAAAAATATTAATTAAAACAGAGAAGTATCACCTGCATCAGACATGATCTCTTTTGTGTCTCTACTGTTTGAAGACTACATAAAAGCAGGGGTTATAAAACTGCCTAAGTTCATGTGTAGTCTGAAACCCAGCATATTCTTGTGCATAACCATCTCTTTACGAGATAAGCAAACCACTGCTGAATTGCAGGAAAAATTTCTGGAGTGTAACATTCATTCTCAATAAAATTTATGATTTGATTATATTTTTTCATTATCATCTTATATTCCCCATAATTTTATAATGTTCCCCATGTCAACAATACTAAGCTAGGTAATACTATCACTGCAGTAATGAATAAGCCTTTAGAGTGGAACAGCATAGGCTCATACAGTAATTGAGAAACAGAAGTCTGGAATCAAACAGTATCAGCTGACAATAAGCAAAAGTCAGAGTCAAAATTTTGGTTGTGGGTAGGCAGCCTAGTTCTCATGACCCGATAAACTCACCACTGAATCATACAATCATAGAATGATTTGGGTTGGAAGAGACCTTCAAGACCATCCATAGGCAGGGACACCTTTCCACTAGATCAGGTTGCTGAAAGCCCCGTTCAACCTGACCTTGAACACTGCCAGGGAGGGGGCAGCCACAGCTTCTCTGGGCAACCTGTGCCTCACCACCCTCACAGGAAAGAGTTTCTTCCTTATATCTCATCTAAAATCTACCTCTTGCAGTTCAAGACCATTACCCCTTGTCCTGTCACTTCAGCCCCTGATAAAGAGTCCCTCCCCATCTTTCCTGTAGGCCCCCTTTAAGTCTTGGAAAGCTGCTATAAGGTCCTCCCAGAGCCTTCTCTTCTACAGGCTGAACAACTGCAACTCTCTCAGCCTGTCCTCATAAAGGAGGGACTCCAGACCACTGATCATCTTTGTGGCCTCCTCTGGACCTGCTCAAGCAGGTCCATGTCCTTCTTATGCTGGGGGCCCCAGAGCTGGACACAATACTCCAGGTGAAGTCTCACAAGAGCAGTATAGAACCTCCCTCAACCTGCTGGCCACACTTCTCTTGATGCAGCCCAGGATACAGTCGGCTTTTTGGACTGTGAGTGCACATTGCTGGCTCATAGTCAGTTTTCTATCCACTAGTATCCCCAGGTCTTTCTCCAAAGGGCTGTTCTGAATCTGCTCACTGCCCAGCCTGTATTTGTGCTTGGGATTGCCTTGACCCATGTGCAGAACCTTGCACTTGGCCTTGTTGAACTTCATGAGGTTCTCACAGGCCCACCTCTCAAGCCTGTCCAGGTCCCTCTGGATGGCACATCCCTTCCTCCAGCTTGTCAACCGCACCACAGCTTGGTGTTGTTGGCAAACTTGCTGAGGGTGCACTCAGTCCCATTCTCTGTGTCACCAACAAAGATGTTAAACAGCACTGGCCTCAACACTGACCCTTGAGGAACAGCACTTGTCACTGCTCTCCACTCAGATACCAAGCTGTTCACCACAACTCTTTAAGCACAACCATACAGCCAGTTCCTTATCTACCACGTGGTCATCCATCAAATCCATGTCTCTCCAATTTAGAGACACAGATGTAGTATGGGATAGTGTCAAAAGCTTTGCACAAGTCCAGGTAGATGATGTCAGTTGCTCTTCCCTTATTCAGATAGAAGATAATTTGAATTTACTATTGTTTAGTTAGTTTCTCTCCATCCAGCAGTACACAGAGTTTTAGCCTTCCTGTCTTACAGATTTCATCCCAAACAGAAAATCATTCTTTTTAAATTAGTGAGCTATCCTTAGATTCTGACTTGTGGAAGAGGAGGCAGAGACAACTGAATCTTCTATCAAGTGCAGACCAAACCAGTGCTGAGGAATAGTGATTTAACTAACATAACGGAGGACAACAGCACCTTGGAGAACACAGAACAAACATTAGACTTTTAGACAAGGCTGTTTGCCATTCAGCATAGATTAGTGTTATGAATAGCCCACCCAATGAAGTAATGTACAGACCCTGACAGGTAAAGCAACTCACAGCTGACACTTCTGTGGAACTGGCATCCCACCAGCACGATCAGACTATTTATCTGAGTCTTCCTCCACATGGACCAGTGGCCCTATTCACCAAAATGCCCCAAGTCCTTTCTAAAGACATGACTGTGTATTTTGTTGTGTGAACACCACACAGGTTATTTGGAGGATCTGAAAACATCTATTACCTAACATTGTGAAGTTTAACCTATATCAGAGGTGACAGTTTCCCATTTCCCTTCCCATATCCCATATGCATACATATGATGTCAGAAATCACCAAAAATACTTGAGCTTTCCCTCCCTCCCACAGGTCTAGGCCAGGGATCTCTGGCTGTGATATCCACACCATGCTCACTAAATGCCTGCTGCAGGGAAAAAAAAAAAAAAATGCCCAGAAATCAGCACCAAGCAGACACAGTGTAAAATAGCTGGCATGTAAGCTGCTTCCTCTTTTTCCTTTTAAGGACAGAAAGATATCTAGTACAAAGAGATACCGCCACTGAATCCCTGACAGGTTCCATAGACCCTTGCATGCCCAGACACTGCCATTTCTCACTCCTGGAAAGCCAGAAGCCCTCAGTTTCTAAAGAAATGTTACACAAAGCACTCTTTTCAGTATTTTGGATCAGTATTAGTTTATGACATATGACATTGTATCACGTGCACTGAAGCCTTGAAAGGCTTTGCTGTATAGCTTTTTACACAGGCCATGCTGGAGTTCCTGGGTAGCTCCACTGCAGCCAGGAACCGGATGAACCACATGAACCACATCATTAATATTTGGTCCACAGTCCTGAGGAAACCAGGCTTTACAAATGGAAAGTATATGCTAATCCCTCCAGAAATTAAGGCTAAGTAGTCAGTGTCATACACCTAACAGAAGAAAGTGCAGGCAATACAAAGTTTGCACCAGTCACACCTCACTCCTGAGGCCACAATGGCAGGATTCCACTATGTCTCCACACAGAATATTCCCTGCACACAAGGCAAATACATTCAGTGCACTCAGTTATGGCAGAGGGGCAAACACCGGCCATACTGCTTAATGGACACTGAGATGAACTGTAGGAGACTGACAAGGAACAGTACCTGAAAGTCTCACATGGAAAAAAGCACACAAAGTGTTAGAGGAATTTTATGTCCCCTAGAAAGATATTTCAAGGCAGCTATTAAAAAAAAGGCCAAAGGCAATTTTGTGGAAATTTGGACATGCAAATAGACCATTAGTGAAGCCTTTAATCACCCTGATTTTACTTTTCTCAGAATATTCAGGCAGCACAAAAAGCCTCCTCAGTTTCAGAAATCAGAAGGTGCTTTAGTATTTTGATGATATTTTTGTAGTAAGCAGATACAGTGTTTATAATACTCTTTATATTGCATATATTTTAAAAGCAGTACTTTCATCATCTTTGAGACACTAATACTACAAGATACTAAATGCTAAATATATTAAGACGCTAATGCTAGCTTAATACAGCTTTATAACACGTTTCTAGAAATATTTACAGCTACTCCTTCTAATAAAACAAGAAGGTGAATTAGGGCTGAAGTGGAATAGGGTAACTAAGTTTCATCTCCCTTGACCTAGTGAAAATCCACACTGATTTGAGTCTTAGCCTGTCCTACATGTACATAACAAATCACTCAGAAGGCAAAACCGAGTAACATATCGAGTTAGCATAACCGAGTAACAATCTTGCATCTGCAACATTCCAGCACTTCCATTGCTCAAACACCAATAATCAATCTCAAGCAAAACCTCTTAGCTCACAGACCACTAAGGCATTTAAACAAAATTTAAAACTTGACCCTCCCATCTGAACAAAATTTAAAACTTTACCCTCCCTACACCTTGGTTATTTAAGAGAACTACCGATCGAATCTCCTAGCTAAGGACACCATTTTACACCTGTTAAAAATCTTAGGAAAAAACCAATCTTTTTAACGATTTTCTGCATACCACTGAAGCAGTAAGCAAAGCATTCTCACCAAGTCAAATTTAAGTGAGTGAAGACGGAATATTTTTTCTGCATTGTTTGCAGGAATGTATTACATGATGGAAATAGAAGAAAAAAAAAATCAACCACAACATACTGAGATGCACAAAGAGTTAAACAGTATTTAAACATTACACCATTTCTCCTTACCAGATGACTCTAAATCGTCAATAATACTTAAATGTACACAATGTCACTATATTCTAAAAAAGATTTAACTATGGATATTGAAAAACTTCATCCTGAGTCTATGAAGGATTCTCTTAACCTATTACTATTTTAATAATAGATATAGGAGTATCCACATCTTCCCATCTCTCTTATACTCAAGGAAACCCTCCTTAACTTGCCAGAAGTTCTCTTACAAATTAGAAAAAATCTGTGTTTATATCCAGGATATGTTCATTTCAGCATCTAGAAAACTGTATTTACACCAATAATAAATGTGACCCAAGACACCACAGAACAGATCTTGGTGTGTTTGAATGGTTTTCATTTCTTCTCAAGAGAAGAATACAAACAGCTTAAAGCAGGCAAGTGAAAGTGACCAGAGGTAGCAATTTGAGGTTGGCCAGTGTTAAGGAGAGAGATTCAAGAGGCTAGGACTATTTAAATTAAAAGCAAAAGCACACAGAGATTAGAGTTTGGGATTTCTAGCCTGCATAGGTGAAAGGTCACACCAGGACGTGCAGGTTTATCTTCATTCTCCTACAAAGCCAGATGATCTGTTCTCTCCTCCTCATAAACTGCCTGTCCTTTATTCTTTCCCAAACCTTTCCACTGCACAGCATCACTTTCTACAGTGCACTCAGCAGCAAACAGACAGCACTGCTCTGTAACACCAGCAAACTTAGCAGATGAAATGTAGCAGTCACAGATTGAAGAAAGCAGAACTAAAGAAAAAGCAGTGTGAATGAAGGGATAAATAAAGCATAGAAACTCTTATTGGAATTCAAGTGAAAACAGTGACAGGCTCAAGCAACAGCAGAGAATAAGCCATGGTACAGGAACAATCAGAGACTACATCTGCACTGGGAAAGTTTATAGAATAATTCCCACAGTTGCTGCCACACTAGAACACATGAACTGTTTTTAATACTAACATCAGTCTCTATTTTTACTAAGCCCAGTAATGGTAAAAAATTATCCTAGTCACCAGAACTATGACATCTGAAATAAAGCTATGTTTTAGTTAAGCTAGCATTAGAAAAAGCGAGAATGCCTGCCGAATTTCTTCTCTGTAAGTGTTGATTTCTTTCTGATGAAAAATGACCCTAAAAGTCACAACTTCCGAAAGGCTTATTAAGATCTCACCATTACACACAACACTCATGCAGGTATATCTCGGCTCAGACACTGAACTCTGTGACCCTGGGGTCCTATTCCTATTCTTTGCTCCTTGCATTTTACTAAAGTAACAAATGTTCCTACCTTCCTCTTCCTCTGAGGTACTATCATCATGTAAAGGAACAATAATTATCAAATTAACTCTGTCCAGCTAATGACTTTATCTCATATACTGCTATTAAAAATGTTTTTGCTGTTATGCCTGTGATTTGGGGTATAACTCTGGGAACATTAGAACGACATGCTCATGACAACACCTGCATTTTTTTATATGCATCTTGCATGTACAGCACTGAAAAGTCATCAAGAGCTCAATATATAGTGCAATTCTAGCTACATTTACCAAATTATGCCTCCTGCATCACTTTCAAGACCATGTTCATTGTATTTAGTGCAAGAAAGTGAAGAACCTCCATCTTGCCTTTGAAACAGCTCTGCAGTACTTCTGTGCCTTTGAGGAAATAACTAAAGGACAGAACTTGTCACAGTTCTGTTGCTGTCTATATAGATTTGTGCAACGCATCATCTGTGATGATATCTGCAGAAATTACTGCCTGAAATCAAGACTTTCCTACAGGTCAGAGGTGATTCTCACTATTCATGTGACCTGAGCACCTTCCAGTTTTAGCATGCTCGACCCCACTGCTTCAGCCCCTTGAGGATTCTCTTCTTACAACACTACTTGCAATTCACTGGTCCACAAATACGAGTGAAGTTACAAGTGTAGAACAACCGCGCATTTTTTTCTTTCCCGATCCCAGTGCCACCTAGGCTGACTGGGCAAACACCACTATCCCCTGCACGAAGAAGCACCTGCACGGCTTTGACTTCACCACTAGCCCTGACAGAAACAGTCGCTAGAGGCTAGGGGTCCAAACAAGCTCAACAGTTAATGCATGCTGCGGTTACCAGAACTCATCTAAATGATGTCAGCACAAACAGGTGGCTGGATCTTTTTCTTCAAGTAAGGTACGCCTTTCATTTTGCAACAGGGGCCTCCTAAAACTATGTACACGTTCAGATACCCGTTGGGTAAAACTTAAGGTAACACGTTGCTAACTATTTACTTAAGAAACTTTTACATGCTGAACTGTCCGTGAATTCAAGGCCATAAAAAAGTTTCTGCCAGTGGAGCACTACCCTCGTAGAAAAACGATGTTCTCCTTTTCCACTGCGTATCCACTCGGGAGATTAAAAAACCCACATGGCACAGACCCAGACAAGACTGTTCGGAAGCGGCTTTGCCCGGGCACCTCCCGCCTCTCCTGAGGAACCGGTGCAGCGTCTGAGCGACAGCACCTCCGACCCCCGCCCCGGGGGGGCCTCCCCTGCACCAGCACCGAGCCAGGCCGAAAGCTTCCCGCTAGAACCGGGGCCACAAAGCCCCGCCCGGAGGAAGCCGGCGGTTTCAGCGCCGGCCCGCACACCGCCGCCGGTCCCGCAGTCACCTGCACACGGCCCGCAGCTCGGGCACCGTCTCCGACGCGCAGCCCAGCTCCGCTGCTACGGCCGCGGCCGTGTCCGC